CACTTTCTTTTTCTTACGTGTTTTCCGTTTACTTTGTGTATAAATTTTCCGTATTGAATAAATTCTCTGTCCAAATGCCTGTTATGCATACAAAATACTCAAATTCTATAGCTTTAATGATGATATATTCTTGTCTTATACATTACCGTTGAAACGGTCAAATGAGTAGCTAAAACAGATAAGAAAAATAAAAAGTTTTTTTTCCTTATTTTTGCATTGTCATTCACATCAACTACACAATTAGTTCTTGATTATATAAAAATTTTTGTTACTTATTTTATGTTCTATATACATTATATTAATCAAATTACAAAAATATGTTGTAAAGTAATAATATATTATAAAATAAAGAAAAAAAAGATAACTTGATATTTATCTATTAAATAGCTTTATTATATTATTCTGCATGTCTTTTAACATTTTAACTACTGTATATCTTTATAGGAAGTTAAAACTGGTTGATCTTGTTCATATGCTTTTCCATAGGCAAATTTTTCGTTTAAAGTCACACGCTAAGCACACGATATTATACTGTACATGATCTCAATATAGAAATAAAACATACTTTTCACTTTCGTGACTAAATCTAGGGTAAGTTTTCCAATAATATTCAAAGTAGCAAACTAAAAATATAATTTAATATTCAAATAATACAAATAACATTTAATTTTAAGATTTTTCCTATTTGAATAAAGATTTATGTATAAAAAGTAAAATCTAAATCAAACTAGGTTAAATGTGACAATATACTAAATACTAATTTATGTTATATTTATTTCAGTTTGCCTTTTTAAGAATATCCTTGTCGGAAAATTTAAAATATTTCCTTCAGAAATGACAATAGTTGTTTATTATATTTTAAAACAATTCTTTGTACTTATATATTTTCCTCGTTGATTTTATATTTTTTAATTTTATGCATTTATATTTTCAATTGTTTTAGTGTAGAATGAAATCTTAAAAAACTCATGTTATCTTTTATTTACATTGTATACAAAATTATAGGAAAATTATATATTTTTCACAGATAAAAAATATTAGAAAAATAATATTACATAAAAAAACTTAAATTTAATTGTTAATTTAATTTATATATAGTTTATTTTTTAAATTTTAATCATTTATATATATATACATTNATTGTCATCATCAAATATGATAAATTATAAAGTAATAGAATAATAATAGACTAATAATATGGAATTGCATTTGATTTCACGTAAATTAACTATAATTGATTATAGTTCTTCTTAATGAATTATATAAGTCTGTTTTGAATCTATATAATAATTTTTATATAAAACAAAATTAAAAATATCCACGTACAATATATTTATTGTTACAGTCTATGTGCTAAATTAAAAGAAAATCAAAGAAAAATAATAAAAATTACGATTTTAAAAATTTTCCTTTAAATGTTTGAACACGCCTCACAAAATATAACAATAAAGTAATAAATTTTCAATAAAAAACGTTCTTTATAAATACATTTTAAGTAATAAAAATACAACATACTTTTTACATTTCTCATTATTTTACTCTTGTTATTTGAAGAATCCATAACCTATATATTTAACATGTTTATAACCATAAATGTATCATTGCATTTATTTATTATAATCTAATAAGTGAGTGTATATATTAGAAACTAATGAGATATTATAAGAGATTATAATATCATATCCTTGATGATCTCATATATAAAGTATATATGAACCATTCTTCTATAATTACACTCATCAGGAAATACTTGACATATTTGTCAAATGGGAGGAGAACATTTCAGTTATTAACAGAATAAAAATTTATTTATAAATTACCAAATAATCAAAAGGGAAAATATAATAAACTTACCAGAATATCTAGGATTTACTACCATAAATAGGATTTATAGCCACTATTAGCCTAGTTAAAACGAGAATACGCGTAGGCACATTATATAAAATTGATAAAAATAATACTTTTGAACTTTATACAGTTAAAAAGTTTTTATAACCTGAATTTTAAATAGATTAAATTACTTTGTATAAGACAATTTTCATCCATAACTCATTGGTTTATATTGACATTGACCTTATAATATACGATAAAAATTACTTGTAAGGTTTTAAAAATTTTAAAATTATTTTTTATATATTAATTGGTTTATATTGGAGAAGCTATATGGTAATTAAGATTGTTCAATTAAAGATGAATTTTAAATTCTTTATTTCAGATTAATTGTTTACAACATGAATCTTCTATGTATACAGTATCTATTGTCTCGGCAATTCTTTTATCTTGGAAGGTTAATAGGTAGAAATCCTAAATATTTTGTCATAGGACCTTTGTTGCTGACATTAATACTGGTCACCGGTTTGTTAAATATATCTGTAAATAGAAATTTGGACTTTCTTTTTACTGCAAGGGACGGAAGAGCAGAGCAAACTAAGAAATTATTAGAGAAATTTTTTCCTGTAAACACTTCCTCCTTTACAGATATTGTAAGAATAACAGCTTTACACGAAATAATATCTGTTCAAATTATTACTAAAGACGGAGGAAGTGTTTTCCGAAAGAAGGTGGTTAATGAAGTGATAAAATTCCATAATATAATTAAAAACATTACCGTAAAATGGAATAACCAAACGTATAATTATGATAATTTGTGCGGTAAAAGAAACGGAAAATGCGTGGAAAGTAGCTTTTTGAAATTAGCACCTCACGCCAATGAAATTTTATTAGGAAAGTTTAAAGTCAAATATCCATTAGATATGAACGAACACACCTTATTATACGATGAATACATATCATCTTTAGGTGGAGTGAAAACACTAGCAGACTGGACTTTAATAGATGCAAAAGGTTCCAGATTCATTTATTTCTTAGACATAAGTAACACCACTAAAACCGTACCTATTAATTTATGGAGGGATGCCGTTGCCGCAAAACTTAGAAATTTAATGTTTAAAACGGTAACTTTTTCTTTTTATAATCTTAACGATCTCGATGAAGAAGTTGCACGGGCTAATAAACACCTAACAACTCGCATACCTATTGTTGCTTTCACTGTAATGGTATTTTCTTTCATAACATGTATGACAAATGACTGGATAAGAAGCAAACCTTGGCTTGGAATTTCAGCATGCATATCCGCTGGTTTGGCAATTGCAAGTGGAATAGGATTAGTTTGTCACTTGCATATCGATTTTATCGATTTTAACATCGGTCTCTGTTTTATTATTTTAGGTAAGATGTTTATGTTTACTAATAAAGTACTAATAAAATATATTATATAATATGACATAATTTAATTTAATTAAAATTTTTCCAATACAAATCCTTAAATATTTTTTCCCAATTATAAATACAGAAGTTGCGGCTGAAGTTTTCGTGAACGTCGAACGTCGAGCGCCGCTTACAAGATAGCAGCGCTCGACGTTTGACGTCCACGTTTGAGAGATGAAAACTTCGGCCGCAACCTCGCTAATATGTAACTTTGACAAAGTATTTAAACAGATGTACTTTGTCAAATACTTTGACAAAGTATTTAAACACATAAAATAATATTTTTTTCTTTAAAAATAAATGTTATAGTTTATTATTTAATTAAAAATTTAATTTATATCGATTCATCTGATTTGATATAATCAAATTTATATTAGTTTTAATTATTATCATAGAAATTATTACTTGTATGATTGTTATCATAATTATTGCAAATACAGTAGATCCCCGATAGAACATTACAAGAAATTTTCCCAATTGCAGGTAATTTAATTGCTGTACGAAAAAGTACTGCCTATTTGCAAATATGTTATGAAATTAAGAGAAAACTGTGAAATTTTAAACATTTTTACTACGTAGATATATATTCATTACATCNCTTTAGGTGGAGTGAAAACACTAGCAGACTGGACTTTAATAGATGCAAAAGGTTCCAGATTCATTTATTTCTTAGACATAAGTAACACCACTAAAACCGTACCTATTAATTTATGGAGGGATGCCGTTGCCGCAAAACTTAGAAATTTAATGTTTAAAACGGTAACTTTTTCTTTTTATAATCTTAACGATCTCGATGAAGAAGTTGCACGGGCTAATAAACACCTAACAACTCGTATACCTATTGTTGCTTTCACTGTAATGGTATTTTCTTTCATAACATGTATGACAAATGACTGGATAAGAAGCAAACCTTGGCTTGGAATTTCAGCATGCATATCCGCTGGTTTGGCAATTGCAAGTGGAATAGGATTAGTTTGTCACTTGCATATCGATTTTATCGATTTTAACATCGGTCTCTGTTTTATTATTTTAGGTAAGATGTTTATGTTTACTAATAAAGTACTAATAAAATATATTATATAATATGACATAATTTAATTTAATTAAAATTTTTCCAATACAAATCCTTAAATATTTTTTCCCAATTATAAATACAGAAGTTGCGGCTGAAGTTTTCGTGAACGTCGAACGTCGAGCGCCGCTTACAAGATAGCAGCGCTCGACGTTTGACGTCCACGTTTGAGAGATGAAAACTTCGGCCGCAACCTCGCTAATATGTAACTTTGACAAAGTATTTAAACAGATGTACTTTGTCAAATACTTTGACAAAGTATTTAAACACATAAAATAATATTTTTTTCTTTAAAAATAAATGTTATAGTTTATTATTTAATTAAAAATTTAATTTATATCGATTCATCTGATTTGATATAATCAAATTTATATTAGTTTAATTATTATCATAGAAATTATTACTTGTATGATTGTTATCATAATTATTGCAAATACAGTAGATCCCCGATAGAACATTACAAGAAATTTTCCCAATTGCAGGTAATTTAATTGCTGTACGAAAAAGTACTGCCTATTTGCAAATATGTTATGAAATTAAGAGAAAACTGTGAAATTTTAAACATTTTTACTACGTAGATATATATTCATTACATCTTGAATCTGGCATTGTTTAGATTACTGTGACGATACTGTTGTCTAGTGTTCTCAATTGTAACACATGATATCAGTGCTTCTTTATCTCATTTATGCAAATTACTCTGCAAACGTGATAGAAAGTATTAAATTTTTTCATATTCTCTCTTTAATACTCTATATTAGTTTAAGAAATACTCGCTATTTTACGCGGGGGATCTTGGAACAAAGTACAGTAGACCCCCCTATAACACTGTAGATAAGTCCGTGTAATATGAATTCCATGTTGTACGAGTCACTTAGATTTTACAAATACGTGTGCCGGGCTACGTATTTGTAAAATCTAAGTGACTCGTACAACATGGAATTCATATAACACGGAATTATCTACAGTGTTATAGGGGGATCTACTTGTAGGCGCGTATAGCGTAAGCCCTATTGTACAAACTGTAATAATTATAAATTTATAAACTAAATTATTACAATAATTTATTTATTATGATTATATCGCTTCACTAAAAATATTAATTACAATTATATTGACATTTATAATAAATAAAACTGTATTAAATATTTAAAATAAATAAAAGCAATAACCATGGAATTTTTGTACACTTATATATTGTTATTAAATACAGATTAAAATTACAAATTTAAATGTAAATGTATTTAAAATAATATTCTTATTTCATTGCCTCATTTGCACTATTCAAATAACTTTGCAATTTAATTTACGATTTTCCTCAATACAGTATTAAAATTATTAGTTTAAAAATATCATAAAACTTTCTATGTTAATGTATGAGAAATAATTTAAAACATTAAATTATTCCTCATGTTTTAATGCTTAATTAATATTAATTTAATTTTAGTTTTGCAATTTAAATTTTAGAATATAAGATAATCGTTTCCTCTTATGTATCTAAACACTACTTTTTTAAATAGCGATTTATAACAGATAGGAGTATGTCTATATATATATATATATATATATAGATAACATTTACAATGATCATATCTGATAGATGAATAAAGTACATCTGTAACAAATACAATAATAACAAGATTAAAATTATGTAATAATTCTCTTTCGTGCATGTTCTTCGATTCATTAGCATATTATCTCAATAATCTTCATACAATAATAGCAGTTTCATGAAAAGAATTTCAATTCCATCAAAGCATCCTTGACCTATAAAATAAAAAAAAACTAAGTAAAATCTATTATAATATTCAACGTTTGATATTATCTAACATTTAAATTTCGAACGTTTTGTATAAAAGCGTTATTTATTTTATAACTTTTTTAAAGGTAAATATCCTATTCATAAGGATAACATATTTGATTTTGGGACACAGTATGAACCGTTAATTAACAGTAAGTTTTCATGCATTAAAACTTTCTACATAAGAAGGAAATTCCTATTTTCTACAAAGTATTTTTCCTTTATTACTTGTCTTTATATATGTAATATTTTATTAAAAAAAGTAAGTCCTAAATACCCTGCTAGGTATTACATATTCAATAAAACTATCAATACGTAGAAATCGTAAATTCTTTTCGAGAAATTCGAAAGAAAATGTTTAATTAAATGGAATCTCTGTATAATGGCCTTATGTGACCTATATTCTTGATAGATCAAACCTGCTGAAAGGAAAACGAACCGATAATTTCTTTAGTGTCTCTAGCTATGTCAATGACCCTCAAATTGAGTAAATTACTGATCTAGACTCAATTACGCAATAATAGAGTTGAGATGAAATGAATCACACAGCATGTCTGTTGAGAGTGAAAGAAACACGAACAAAGCGAATAGCTAGTATTTCCTACTTACTAAAATAAATGATGATTCATACATGTCAAGAAAACGTATCATATAAGATGTAATGAAGATGAGTTAACGAGTACGTCTAACATTTCTATAACTATTCTAAATTTAAATCGAAATATACCCTCATTTTTATTTATAAATACAAACCTAGCTTTATTCTATCATAAGACACACATCTCGTGTTAACACCTCTATCATATTCTTTATAATATTCTTAATAATACAGTTTATTCAGTTTAAATTTTAAATATATATGGTTCTATTTCGTATTAAAATAATATATAAAAGCTAAATATACAATTATATAAAAAATTATATGGATAAAACTATCTCAATCAAAATAGAGTTATGTTAAAAGATACATTTTATATAATAAAAATAATCATTTATATCCTTTATAGTTTATAACATTAAAGACATTAATAAAATTTTATAAAAAGTAGTTGAAATGTATTTTTATAAATATTTTCCTGTAGGAAAAGTGTTAAAATGGAATACTAANATATTAATTTAATTTTAGTTTTGCAATTTAAATTTTAGAATATAAGATAATCGTTTCCTCTTATGTATCTAAACACTACTTTTTTAAATAGCGATTTATAACAGATAGGAGTATGTATATATATATATATATATATAGATAACATTTACAATGATCATATCTGATAGATGAATAAAGTACATCTGTAACAAATACAATAATAACAAGATTAAAATTATGTAATAATTCTCTTTCGTGCATGTTCTTCGATTCATTAGCATATTATCTCAATAATCTTCATACAATAATAGCAGTTTCATGAAAAGAATTTCAATTCCATCAAAGCATCCTTGACCTATAAAATAAAAAAAAACTAAGTAAAATCTATTATAATATTCAACGTTTGATATTATCTAACATTTAAATTTCGAACGTTTTGTATAAAAGCGTTATTTATTTTATAACTTTTTTAAAGGTAAATATCCTATTCATAAGGATAACATATTTGATTTTGGGACACAGTATGAACCGTTAATTAACAGTAAGTTTTCATGCATTAAAACTTTCTACATAAGAAGGAAATTCCTATTTTCTACAAAGTATTTTTCCTTTATTACTTGTCTTTATATATGTAATATTTTATTAAAAAAAGTAAGTCCTAAATACCCTGCTAGGTATTACATATTCAATAAAACTATCAATACGTAGAAATCGTAAATTCTTTTCGAGAAATTCGAAAGAAAATGTTTAATTAAATGGAATCTCTGTATAATGGCCTTATGTGACCTATATTCTTGATAGATCAAACCTGCTGAAAGGAAAACGAACCGATAATTTCTTTAGTGTCTCTAGCTATGTCAATGACCCTCAAATTGAGTAAATTACTGATCTAGACTCAATTACGCAATAATAGAGTTGAGATGAAATGAATCACACAGCATGTCTGTTGAGAGTGAAAGAAACACGAACAAAGCGAATAGCTAGTATTTCCTACTTACTAAAATAAATGATGATTCATACATGTCAAGAAAACGTATCATATAAGATGTAATGAAGATGAGTTAACGAGTACGTCTAACATTTCTATAACTATTCTAAATTTAAATCGAAATATACCCTCATTTTTATTTATAAATACAAACCTAGCTTTATTCTATCATAAGACACACATCTCGTGTTAACACCTCTATCATATTCTTTATAATATTCTTAATAATACAGTTTATTCAGTTTAAATTTTAAATATATATGGTTCTATTTCGTATTAAAATAATATATAAAAGCTAAATATACAATTATATAAAAAATTATATGGATAAAACTATCTCAATCAAAATAGAGTTATGTTAAAAGATACATTTTATATAATAAAAATAATCATTTATATCCTTTATAGTTTATAACATTAAAGACATTAATAAAATTTTATAAAAAGTAGTTGAAATGTATTTTTATAAATATTTTCCTGTAGGAAAAGTGTTAAAATGGAATACTAATCAATTAACTTTGTTTGATTTTTCTTGATAAGAAAACATAATTGTTATATTGTAACCATAAAAAAGAAAAAAAAATACTTGTTTTTCTGACATTTTCCCTATCATATAAATATTTAAAACACAAGGATAAAATGTTTCAAAAAGTCTATTTTAAGCATTCATACTTAAGGTGTTAAAAAAAAATAAATTCTTTTCATAATAACGACATAAATTTTAAGCTTTAATATAAGAATAGTATTTTTAAAAATATAATCATTTTAATTAAAATTATGTAATAATTTAGGTACGGAAATTGATGATGCTTTTGTTATAATATCTGCATGGAGATGTACATCCGTAGAAGATACAGTAGAGAAGAGAATGGGGCAAGCATTTTCTAAAGCTGGTGTCTCCATAACTGTCACTTCACTTACAAATTTTGTCTCTTTTTGTATTGGTATGACCACTCACTTTCCTGCCGTTCAATTGTTTTGTGGTTATGCAGCATCGTGTATTTTCTTTACTTATGTATACCAAATTACATTTTTTGGAGCATGTATGGCATTGAGTGGATACAGAGAAGAAAAAGAATTACATTGTTTGACTTTCCGTCCAATTAAAGGTAATTGTTATTTATAGGATTACATAGTCTGTATAATAATTTCTAAAACACACAATTTCTAGTTCAAATAAAAGATTTTAAAAACCTATTTTCTAATTCCTCAAAATAGTAGACTACAGTCGACCCCCTATAACACTGTTGATTTTTCCGTTTTATATGAATTCCATGTTGTACGAGTCACTTAGATTTTACAAATACGTGAGCCGTTCACAGTCCGGCACACGTATTTGTAAAATCTAAGTGACTCGTACAACATGGAATTCATATAAAACGGAAAAATCAACAGTGTTATAGGGGGTCGACTGTAGTCTACTATTTTGAGGAATTAGAAAATAGGTTTTTAAAATCTTTTATTTGAACTAGAAATTGTGTGTTTTAGAAATTATTATACAGACTATGTAATCCTATAAATAACAATTACCTTTAATTGGACGGAAAGTCAAACAATGTAATTCTTTTTCTTCTCTGTATCCACTCAATGCCATACATGCTCCAAAAAATGTAATTTGGTATACATAAGTAAAGAAAATACACGATGCTGCATAACCACAAAACAATTGAACGGCAGGAAAGTGAGTGGTCATACCAATACAAAAAGAGACAAAATTTGTAAGTGAAGTGACAGTTATGGAGACACCAGCTTTAGAAAATGCTTGCCCCATTCTCTTCTCTACTGTATCTTCTACGGATGTACATCTCCATGCAGATATTATAACAAAAGCATCATCAATTTCCGTACCTAAATTATTACATAATTTTAATTAAAATGATTATATTTTTAAAAATACTATTCTTATATTAAAGCTTAAAATTTATGTCGTTATTATGAAAAGAATTTATTTTTTTTTAACACCTTAAGTATGAATGCTTAAAATAGACTTTTTGAAACATTTTATCCTTGTGTTTTAAATATTTATATGATAGGGAAAATGTCAGAAAAACAAGTATTTTTTTTTCTTTTTTATGGTTACAATATAACAATTATGTTTTCTTATCAAGAAAAATCAAACAAAGTTAATTGATTAGTATTCCATTTTAACACTTTTCCTACAGGAAAATATTTATAAAAATACATTTCAACTACTTTTTATAAAATTTTATTAATGTCTTTAATGTTATAAACTATAAAGGATATAAATGATTATTTTTATTATATAAAATGTATCTTTTAACATAACTCTATTTTGATTGAGATAGTTTTATCCATATAATTTTTTATATAATTGTATATTTAGCTTTTATATATTATTTTAATACGAAATAGAACCATATATATTTAAAATTTAAACTGAATAAACTGTATTATTAAGAATATTATAAAGAATATGATAGAGGTGTTAACACGAGATGTGTGTCTTATGATAGAATAAAGCTAGGTTTGTATTTATAAATAAAAATGAGGGTATATTTCGATTTAAATTTAGAATAGTTATAGAAATGTTAGACGTACTCGTTAACTCATCTTCATTACATCTTATATGATACGTTTTCTTGACATGTATGAATCATCATTTATTTTAGTAAGTAGGAAATACTAGCTATNTTGAATGTTGTCTTGAAATAGTAGTAGTACTGATTACAGACTGTGTTAATAATAATTTAGTGTGCATAAAAAGGCTGCTTGTTAAGTTATTAACAAGCAACAATGTTACGAATATTAAAGCACTTTTGAATCTGTTTATACTGTATAAATATAATTCTGTAATCGAATGTATCAATTTTTTTTTTTAGGTCGAAAGAAAGTTCAAGGAAGTCCAGAAAAACAAGAAATAGAAGATTTTATAATGGTCCAATTTAGAGATAAACTTGGAAGACTACTAACGTTTCCTTTTGTTAAATTTTTAGTAATATGTATATTTGTTTTAAATCTTGGAATTGGTATTTGGGGATTTTTAATAATAAGAGATGGAAATGATTATTCTGATTTATTCAATGAAAAATCATCTATTTCAATATATCAGAATGTTTTCTTTAAATATTTTAATAAATATTACTTCACTTTACAAATCATTATAGACAAACCTTTAAATTATGCAGATTTGGAAGTCCAGAATGCTGTTGATAAAACCATTGATAGATTCATAGAACATCCTCATATTGCAGAACCAAAGCTAATGTATTCTTGGTTAAAATACTATAAAATGTTTATGAAATTACCTGTGGGGAAATTTCTTTTAAAAGGATATAATATGACGTGTAAAGAAGAATTTTATGAAGGTTTACGAAATGTATTTTTACGTTTACCTCAAACAAGAGAATTTCAGGAAGATATTATTTTTAATGAAGATAATACGGAAATTATCAAGACACGTTTCTTTGTAACTTTACAAGATATCGATAATTCTCAAACTGAAATTAAAGTAATAAAAGAACTTTATGAAATAGCAGATAAAACTCCGATTCCAGTCAAAATACACAGTTTTACATTTCATTTACTTGAACAAGCTCTTCTTATCAAAAGAATAGTATATCAGTTAGGTCTTATTAGTGCAGGACTTATATGTTTATTATTCTTTATTTTTGTACCTAATATAACTTGTGCAATATTCATATCTTCTATAGTTCTATGTATTATATGCGAAACGATTGGAATGGTATCATTTTTAGGCGTCAAAATAGACATGCTCTTGTTAACAACATTAGTTCTGTGTGTTGGTTTTTCAATTAATTATCCTACTCATATATCTTTTTCATTTGTTATGGCCAAAGATCTAACTCCCGAAGAACGAGTCAGAAATTCTCTGTATGAAATAGGATTTCCTATGTTTCAAGGAACAGCTACTACTCTACTCGGGGTATCAGTTTTGCCCTTCGAACCTTATTACTCATCTATATCATTTTTTAAAATTATGTTTGTTCTTTCTTTGCAAACAGCCTTTCATGGAATGTTTGTAATTCCTGTGATTCTGAGCCTTTTACAATACTGTGATAAATCTCTAAAGGAAGAAATTGTTGATGGAGAAAATGTCGAATTAAATCCAGAATCGACTTCTTAGTAAATAAATTTCATTTTACTAATATTGTACAATAACGTGTATTGTAATTAAAAATAATATATAAAAAAAATAACTTAAAAGACTATTAACTATGTCATAATGTCTACGCCAAACAATAAAAGTTCTTTATTTAGATAGCATCTAAAAAGGTATTTCAAGTGGCAATCAATTCAAAAGCTTACAATATAATTTAAAAGAAGAGAAAATACTCCGGCTATTTGTTAAAGAGCAATCAAAAATAAGTGTTTTGTAATATGTATTTATTTTTAGAACTAAATTAATACATTTTATATAATAAAAATAATCATTTATATCCTTTATAGTTTATAACATTAAAGACATTAATAAAATTTTATAAAAAGTAGTTGAAATGTATTTTTATAAATATTTTCCTGTAGGAAAAGTGTTAAAATGGAATACTAATCAATTAACTTTGTTTGATTTTTCTTGATAAGAAAACATAATTGTTATATTGTAACCATAAAAAAGAAAAAAAAATACTTGTTTTTCTGACATTTTCCCTATCATATAAATATTTAAAACACAANGATGTTTTCAACGATCAGCGAACCTTGTTAACGCAGTCACATTAAAAATAGCTCATCCCATCAGTGGCCGAGTGGATAAAACCACTAAACACTGGTAGTTGGTAGCGGGTTCGGGCCTCGTCCATGACCACGTAGAATTTTCCGGGTTTTCTTCACGTTTGTAACACTCAAAAAGGGACCAGTTTTCCATAAAAAAATTCCCATTCCATTTGTGTTAATTTATTTTGTTTTTATAAATATCAATTATTTTACAAAAATAGTTATAAATTTTATATAAATCTTTTTTACTCATTTTGTTAAAGTTTTTTAACAATTCTATTAGCGAGTTGCATTTATAAATTCGAGTTATATCATAGTGTTCACGAATATCTCTTAATTTTGGACATTTTAATATTAAATGATAAGGTTGTTAAGTCGTCGGAGTTACATAAAAAACATTTTGTTAATAAACTTATATAAGTGTTGTTAACATACAGCGAATATTTATTCAAACGAAGTTGTGCTATAAGTTCGTTTTACATTCAAATTTACCGAATACAACATATATGACTGAACTGATGGTATTTCAAATACAATATATCCAAGTACCATGAATGATATTTACTAGCAAGTAGGGAGAATTGATCTTTGTTTATGGATTGTGCTATAGCTGAGTTCAAAAGTATTGAGTAGCCTGTTTTCCAATCTTGAATGTTGTCTTGAAATAGTAGTAGTACTGATACTCCAAAAGAGTTGAAGATAGTTTCCAATTTATTATGCCATAGCTGTTTATTTATTTGAAGTTTGCTTTGCCTGATGTTTTCATGATATAAAGCAATCAAATTGTTATCACTATTGAATTTAAGTCTGTAATAAAATTTAATGATTCGTTTTAATATAAACGAGAATAACCATATACGATTGGTTAAGAAGAAACAATCTATGTTCTGTTAACAACTCAATTAGGTTTTTACCCAATCTGTTGGTTTGTTTATCTTTCGAAAGACGTTTATTAGATATATAGAAATTGGCACCTTTATATTTTGAATCTATTAACTCACCAATCCTTGCATTAAAATCTTCCATTACCAAAGTAAGAGGAGAAATATGACTCCAACTTTCTAATGTTTTAAAACTATTATTTAAAGTACTTAGATCATCAGGCGGAATATAAGCAATTAACAATGTTATTAAATTATTCGTTTTGTTTATCAAAGTAGGCTTCTGTAGTGAGATAAGAAGTAGCATATTATTGTTGAACTTTTTTATGTCAATTATTTTACCAAAATTCTATTTTATAAGGATACATATACCACCGCTTGGCCGACCCGGACCAGTAGGTTTTTGTGCTTGGATCGCTTCCACTATAAAATCATTGAAAAATTTTTTGTTATAATACGAGTTCGAAGTAATCCAAGTTTCAGTAATTGCTAAAATATCCGGCTGGTATTTAACGCAGAAGTTATTAATTAGTGATGTTTTATTTTTTATTCCTTGACCATTCAAGTTAGCAATGGAAACCATTTGATTAATTCTTTATAGTTCTATTATATTGCATATATTTTTGCTTAACATGATATCAGCTGTCTATATCTATTTGATCACTATAAGGACGAAAATTATCTACATAAACCAATTTGCTCAATTTTAGGCTATATGTTATTTTTTCTTGGTTTATCGTTAATATATATCATTACGGAGTTTAACTTGATGTTTTTGTTTCCGCAATTCATAAAATATTGGGAGTAAATTTTTCCTTCTTATCCTTGAATTTTTAGTTAAATCTGGGAATATTTGCATGTTTTCCCATTCTTCTAATACATTTTTTTTTTTGTTGTTTCTTTTGAATAAAAGTATAGAAGAATTTATCACGAATTTGTTTACTACTGAATGTTATTCTTACTGTTGTATTAGGTTTTTTTGTTATTAAGTTTATTTCTAATATCTCAGTTTGAGTTATATCATGAATATTGAGTACATTAGTCATAAAATTGTATATCTCTGACGTAGATATAGATTTCACACTAGGATATGTATATACAATTATTTTTTTATAATTATAATCATTAATTAAAGAATCTATTTTAAATTGCGTTAGTTCATTTTCACTTTTTTGATTTTCTAATTGTTGTTTTAAATTTTTAATTTCTTCCTCCATATATATATCTGTTTTTCTTTAGTCTCACGTATATCTTAACGTATTCTTTCTACTTCTTCTTTTATATATACCATTTGTTCTAACAATTTATCGTTTGAAGCATTTATTAAATCTGATATTTTAGTCCATATGAGTGCAGTTGAGGTGTCAAGTTGATTTGCCGAAGTAATAAAATGACTTGAATTAATATTAGGTGACTCACCTGTTGAATCCAATAAATTCTGCTGACCAGATTCCATACTGTATTTTGATTCGAGAATTCTTTTGTTTCTTCTTGTGAATCACTTTTCGAAGTCTTTCCCAGAATAAGAATGAAGCAGGTGTTTATTAGTCTACATAAACAAAGAAACTACTTTCGATTTTATTGCAAAATAGAACATACTACATTACATATAGAACATATTTTTAAAACCCATATAAGGTGTGTTAAACTGTTATAATCTATTCGAAATTTTCGACACTTTTGTAAGAATTTAAGAAACATATTTTATCTAATAAACGACAATCCTTGTGAAACACCGAAAAAACGAAATTTTAGGTATTCTAGGCCTCTTAATTTACAAGATATAAATACTTACACAACATGTGCGATGTGAGAGAGACAATTAGAAAGAAGCTTGAAAAAGAGTTCCTGTGTAATTCTGTTGATGAAAAAATCGATGCTTTGGGAAGATATATTGTTAACGTTTTCACTGGAACACTTGAATCTGCTTTTTGATGAAGAAATGGCGAAGGAAAATACAGTTTTGCTGCACACAGGTTTTGTTAAAACAACAAACGACTCAATTGTTGCCAGGATTATGAACAATGCATTGCAAATTTTGTGGCCGAATGCCATCCAGTATGACAAGATGCTTTTGTTCGATGTTTTCAACGATCAGCGAACCTTGTTAATGCAGTCACATTAAAAATAGCTCATCCCATCAGTGGCCGAGTGGATAAAACCACTAAACACTGGTAGCGGGTTCGGGCCTCGTCCCTGACCACGTAGAATTTTCCGGGTTTTCTTCACGTTTGTAACACCCAAAAAGGGACCAGTTTTCCATAAAAAAATTCCCAGGAGGCTTTTTCTTTGGCAGATCATCCATGTGTCACGTTGCCATAAACGAATAAAATAAAACCATAAATAGCTCATATTCCTTGTGAAATTAGAAAACAACTTGAACAAAAAATTCTGTCTTAGCTATAAATACACGATGGGAAAAATTATAGAAAACGAACAATTATTTATTGTGACAATGCTAGGCTACAATTTTTAATTTATTTTATTTAAAGTATATGCTCTCAACCTCAAATTAGTAATGGCTTGCCCCTGTACACCATACTTTTCCTTTAACAGTAGAGTCGTGCATGTCATCTATTAACTACTTCTAGGGGAAAAGTATTGAATTGAAATAATGTAATTTCTGATGCAAATCGGAAGTCACGTCATACATATATATATATTTATGGAATATTTTAGAGCACATTTCGTTCATTTCAAGGGAATATTTATGCATATATTTTCTATGGTTTAGTGGAATAAAATTCTGGGCCTTATTCATTAAGCTATCGTTGAACTTCTCTAGCAACATGCGGTTGTGTACTACTGTATCATATTGAAATCAAATATGCTGGCGTTGGCGGATAAAGTCGTCCAAGTATCTATCAATTACAGTTGGCAAGAAATACAGATGCCTCTCTCCAATAAGTGTCTCTCGAAGAAAAGCAGGATCAATGAGATAATCATTCCAAATTCCACACCACACGTTCAGGGAAAGACAAATTTGACGTCGTGTTCCTTGATGGCAGCGTGTGTTAAGCCTAGTACTCACATGCGGAAACAATAAGCTAAGAATTGCCGTTCCGTCTTCTTTCCACGTTGCGTGTACTCACATATGGAAATTATATTGTCTTGTCTGCAATTAATTGAGCCCGATGTTGAATGTACCATACTTTCTAGTTACACCGATCCAACGCTCTCGTCCCACGTAATGTTTACGACATTTTTTCTAAACGATATTTCTTTACATGTGAATGTTTATGATCCAAAAAAAATTGTTTTATTCTTTTCCATTTGTTTCCTCCTTCTGGGTCTTATTGCACCCAGAAAGGAAAGAAATTAAAATACAAATTACAGCATTCTTTCTGTCCTGTGAGATCCTTGACATATCAAAATATATTGCAAACACAAAGCAGCTCAGAACTACAGGGAAGTCGAACTTGTACAACCCTTCAAATTTTCGAGAGTATGTGATGTACCTTCTTTATCCTTTTAATTATATATATATATATGGAATATACTAATTTTGACCTGCTTACAAATTTATAATTAGAACAGTCGTTCTCTCTGCAATAGAAGCTGAAAAAATTTTTCTCTTCTTTAGGGTAGGGGATGCACCAATGAAGTCCATCCTCGATAAAGTCGATAAAGTATAAAAGCAAGCAGAATTTAAAAAAATCTGACAGTTCATTCTGAGCTATTATCCTAAATTACTTTTAGGAGAATGCCTGTATATTTAAAATATCTCTGTGTGTATTTGCTATACTTTCTCAAGAGAAGTTTATAAGCTATATTAATCAGACATAAATAGATAATAAATATATCTCTATGCTGATATTATTATTGTCTATTGTTAATTCTAATCTTCAATTAACCTTTGGAGTAGGAAAACTTGTTGAAATTAACAAAGATTATTGTGTATATTAATAGATACAAAAATATAAAAGGTTCTCAAGGTGTAAAAAAGAAAAAATGTTTCGTTTCTTAATAATTGGATTAATTTCTTTAGTAGGAGCGTATTATGATGTGCATTTTCAGAAGGAATATGATTATATAATTAGTGAGTATTATAATTTAAAGCCGATATTTTTTGTTATAAATCAATATAATCAAAACTTTACTTTTTATAATATAGTATTTGTCAATAAGTTGAATTTTACTTTCCTGATTGTTATGTACTATAACAGAGGGAAAGTATGGCAATCGATCGAAAAAATTACCTCCCTCCTTCATGATTTTTACATTTTTGGACTTAGGACACGTTGAAACGTTGAGAAATGCAAAATAATTCGGGGGTAATTTCTATATGTATGAATGTTAGTGCGTGTTTGTGCACGATTTTGTTCATCCTCTTCGAAGATTAATAACTCCTGTGCTTTTTGTCAAAATTTTCTTAAATTTTGCAGATAGATTTATGTATTGAGGGTATTGATGCTGTTAAATTTTGGTGGTTAAAGGTCGAGGGGTTAGGAAGATAATGGAGATCGTGTGTGTCTCTAGTAAGGTCGAACTTAATGACAATTTTACTCGTTATTATCATTTACAATTTTTTATAAAACTCATTCCTACCCTCAAAATTAAGCTTTTTTCTATTTTATAATAGTTAAAATATAAAAAAGCTTTTTAATAAAATATGATAACAGCATATTAAATGTTAGCCTTTCTATTTTGATTAATAATATATTACAGTAGATTCTCAATTAACCGGCACCCATGGGGACTGGTAAATACGGTATAAACATAGTTTCTGAAATCTCAGATAATGATTTATTAATTAAAATTATTGTTATATTGTTTAGTTGGCGCGGGATCAGCAGGATCTGTGGTGGCAAATAGATTGTCAAAAGACCGCAGTATAAGTGTTTTGCTTTTAGAGGCAGGATCCTGTCCTAGTCTTATCTCAGAAATCGCATCCTTTCCTGCGGAGTTACAGAAAACAAAATATGATTGGAAATTTAAAACAGTTCCTCAAAAAAATTCTTGTTGGGGACTTAAAGATCAGGTGTTTATTTATTTATTAACTATAAAAATCTTAATAAAATTTATTAAGAAAGTTATTCTTTTACAATAGCGTAGCTCCTGGCCTCGAGGTAAAGTTTTAGGTGGAAGCAGCATTCTTAATTCTATGATGTACGTAAGAGGGAATAAAAGAGACTTTGATCAATGGGCTAAAGATGGAGCGATAGGTTGGAGTTATGATGAAGTTTTATCTTATTTCAAAAAATCCGAAGATAATCGAATCACCGAGTTTAATAAAAACGGTACAAAATTCGTGTTAAATACAGATATCCCTCGACTTACGATATTTCGACATATTTATAAATGCTCCAGTGCATATTAGCAAACGAAGGCCTCTCTATACGATTCAAACAGAACAAAACAACTACTCTTCCAGTCCTATAACTGCAGTAATCTCATATTCTCTATATACATTTCATAACAGCTATAATAAATGTGCATTCTGTTTTCGTCATTACTGACACTGATTACTGTTTATGGTTATCTTAGCATGAAATTGTTTCACGGAATGTTACTTTTGTAGAGAACACGCGACCTCTCTCACGTAATTGCTATAAAACCAGGTGGTCACGAGAAGGTCGTGACCATCTGGTTTCATGTTTTTGTTCGCGTATACTATGTCCTACTGTCTGATCAAGTCGAGGGAAATCTGTATAGAAAAAAAATATGATCTATATAAATTAATAATTTATAATTGAAAATCGATTTATTTAGGTTATCACGGCATAGGAGGAGAACTGACTGTAGAAAAAACATTTGATAACTATTTAAAAGATATTTTTTTGAAAGCTGGAAAAGAACTTGGTTACGATTCAGGAGATTACAATGGCGAATCTCAAAAAGGTAAAAAGAGAAAGAGAGGGTTAAAAACAAAAGATTAAATGTACTATTTATTTTTAAATACAGTCAAGCATCGTTTAATGTTCACGATAAGTTCTGTGAAATAGGACGTGCGAACACTGTATATAAGTACGAAGTTATGTGGGATAGACTAGTGTATAATGTACTAGTGGGATAGATGTTCATTATTTAATTATTCTTATATGTCATAGTTTAATTTATTATATAGTATTTATATTAAATCTGGAGAAAGTTGCAAGATTTTCTGAAAATTATATTTCAGGATCTGGTAATGTTTGAGGTAGCGTATGTAAACGGTGTAAAGTTTACCATATATCAAGCGTTGCCTGGCACTTTGTACAGTACACAAGAGACATAACAAGCTTTTCTCTAAAACCAATTACATTTTCCTACCATATTAGACCAATGTCTCCGAAAAATTTTCAAATGATTAATATCTAACATCAGAAATCTTTGACGCATTTATAGCGCCTGCCAAATTATTTTTAGAACAAGAATACTTGACCTCATCTACTTATATATAGATAAGGTCGTTGAGGACATACATGTAAACTTATAATGACCTGTAAAAGGTCGTTGTAAGTTCAGAGTTTAAACCAGAAAGATACAGAATAAAGATAAAATTATAATATATTCCATCATTATACTTACTCGTAGATATATAATTTCAACATTGTTTTCTTCAGTATTTTCTGACATACAAGCAACGTTGAGAGATGGTACTCGATGCAGTACAAAGAAGGCATTTCTGGATCCAATTAGAGGAAGAAGAAATCTACATATTCTCACGTCTGCATTTGTAAAGAAGGTATCTTTACAATTAATTTTTTAATGTTAACAAACTAGGATTAGAGATTAATTAGAAACTTTTTACGAATTTCGGAAATAATCATAATTTATGGAATAAAATTTTAATATATAACACGAAAGTAATTAAGCAAAATTTACAGATTAATTTTGATGATAAGAAACAGGCAAAGTTTGTGACATTTGACTACCAAGATAAAACACTGACAATTGCCGTTAGTAAGGAAATAATTTTATCAGCAGGTGCGATCAATTCTCCTCATATACTGATGTTGTCTGGAATTGGATCTAAAAAAGACCTAGAAAAATTTCAGGTAATTATATAGTAATATTTAAATACAAATGTGATCATCTGTTTAAATTTTTGCGTTATATTTTCTTCAGATTCCTGTGATTTCCAATCTCCCAGTAGGAAAAAATCTACAAGATCACGTTAGCACATCTGCTATGATATTTACTATAAATAAGCCATATTCGTTTTTAAAGTCCAGATTAACAGTCGATGATATAATTGAGTATTTAAAGAATGGAAACAGTAAGAACACGTCTTATACATATTTAGATATTGAAACTAACAAAAAAAAAATAATCATAAGAATGTAATCACATGTTGGAATTGGCTAACATTCGCATCGGGTTCTTCCCAAGAATCCAGGATGCCGTAATGTAACGGCGTAAAATGTTCGTAGATCTAAGCAGAACAGCTTTTTGAAGTTGACAGATGTTAATTTTGTCAATATTAATTTGTTTCAAATGTTGCCCCGGGTTTTTGGGAACGGCACCCAGTGCGCCGATAATCACTTGTACTGCTGCTACTGGTTTGTGACACAATCTTTGGAGTTCAATCTTCAAGTCTACGTATCTTGTAATTTATTTTATCATTAACCCTGCTGTCACAAGGAATCGTGACATTAATAATCCATACCTTTTTCCTCTCGATGATGGTTATGTCTGGTGTATTGTGCGCTAGGACTTTATCGGTTTGGAATCTGAAGTCCCATAAAACTTATACCTACTCATTTTTAGTGAATTTTGTGATATTAAGATCCCACCTTGGTTAAATCATGTGTTTTGCAAATGTTCCAGTAAATCATCTTGGCAACGCTGTTGTGTCTCAATTTGTAATTAATCTGTGCAATCTTTTTGCATGAGCTGAGAATATGGTCTGTGGTTTCATCCGATTCATTGCATAGTCTGCATTTAGCGGAAGTTGATGAATTTTCAACTTTAGCTTTGATGACATTTGTTCTAATCGCTTGTTCTTCTGCAGCGAGAATAAGGCTTTTAGTTTCTTTCTTTAATGTTCCTGATGTCAATCGCTCTAGGTTTTGGTTTTGTCCAACTTTTCTGTCAATCTTTTTCGGAAATTGGTCATGCAGTGCCTTATTTTTCCAACCTTCTGCTCTTTCCGTCAATGTTTTTTGCCGATATTCTTTTTTTGTGCCTAGAACCTTCAGCAAGTTTCGATTCTTCACTTTCGTTAGTGCCCATTCTTGGCTATTGTTAATGTAATTAGCTAGAAGATGTTTTTCTTCTTTCACTGTTCGACGCTCTTGCAAAAGACCTCTGCTCCCAGATTTGCGAGGCAGGTACAACCTGTAAGTATCGTTAAGTTGATATAGGGCTTAGTGAATTGTCATCAATTTTCTTGTTTTCCACTTTAAGGCATCCAATCTGAATCAGCATGCGTCCAGTTCACAATGCCAGCAGCGTATCTGACAACTGAAATCGTCCAGGAATTGATGACCTTTATTGTATTGCCTCCATTTAGCTTTATCTTCAGGATTTTTCTGACCCTTTGAGTGTATACATTTGCTAACACTTGTTTTTACTTGACTGTGTCTGATGTTATCTAACTCGAATATGCCAAGGTATTTGTAGCTCTTGGCAAGGAATAGAAATGCCAAATGGCCATTTGGCATTTCTATTCCTTCACTTTCTGTAAGTTTTCCTTTGATCATAATCACAGTGGCACATTTTTCCAACCGAGATGTCTGAACTGAAAATACGGACCGTGTTGGTCAGTGAGTGAATGATTTTTCCATACAGTTTCAGGTCATCCATATACACCAAATGAGAAATTTTCTGAGCATTCCTAGCTGTTTGATATCCCAAATTTGTTTTCTGCAGGATCAATGACAACAGGATCATTGCTATGACAAACTCTCTGGCAATTATTATTATTATTACTTCAATTTTTTAAGTAAACATAACTATTTTTATGTTAGATAAATTAACTACACTCGGAGGTGTTGAAGCTGTCGCCTTTGTAAACACGAAATATAATCTTATGCAAGATTGGCCGGATATAGAAATAATATTCCAATCATTCAGTTTGGCTTCTGATGGAGGAACATCATATATATCAGGAATTGGGCTTACAGAACATGTAAGAAAAGAACTTATACTATGCAGTAATATAATTTAATACTTAATCAGAATAACTTATACTGTAATAAGATTAAGAGAAAACTCTTCATTAAATTAATTTATTTCGTATTCTTCATTATATTATTGTTGATATCTGAATAAATAAAACAGGTAACAAAATTCATATAAAGTAAACTTTTAATTAAAATTACGGTACTTAAAACAAAATCAGCTACGTTTATGAACATGAAATGCTATTTAATGAGTGGGATGCTTCTGGTGGATCTTTATTTCCAGTAGTGTTTGAATTTAGAACTATAACTATATAACTTATTCATATTGTAATGCTAAAAAAAGGACTCTCATAAGATTCAATCAGTAAACTGACTGAGAGTCTCTTAGTAATATCAACATGTATGGTTATAATTTTTAATTAATATATCTTCGAGCACCAGATCCACCATAATCTGGACATCGTAAGTTAATAAAATTATACTTGTAATTAATTTGTAAGGATTTATGTTGTTATAATTGTACGATTTGGACATTCTAAAATGTTTAACATATAATACATAAAATTATAATAATAATAATATATACAGTATATTTATTTACAATAACGTTATTAATATACTTTGTGTTGATTCAAATTTTTCTAAATTTAAGCAAGTTTTTGTCATATTTTTAAAACAAATCACTATAATTTTAATCTACATTTAATCCTTTTATAGATGTTCGAAAAATATGCGAGTCCTTATGTAAATAACGATACAATAAATTGTCTCCCAATGCTTCAAAGACCTAAAAGTAGAGGACAAATTCGACTGAAATCGTCAGATCCTTACGAACATCCAATTATCGATCCAAAATATTTTTCACATCCAGATGACCTCAAAGTTTTAGTTGAGGGTATAAGGATGATTCTTTATTAACTAATAAAATTATTACAAGTAATTCATTATTGTGTTAAATATTTTAGGAATGAAGATTTGTCTGGAAATAGCATCTACTTCCACCATGAAAGAAATAGGAACTAAACCAATAGAAACTATTGTTCCCGGTTGCGAAAAATATGAGAAATTCTCAGATGATTATTTAACATGCGTTGCTCAGACATTTACTCATACAGTTTATCATCCAATTGGCACTTGCAAGATGGGAAGTGTTTCTGATGAAAGTTCTGTTGTTGATCCTAATCTCAAGTAAGTTTAGAGAGGTTGCGGCCGACTTTTTCGTTGTGAAAACGTGAACGTCGGACGTTAAGCGCCGCTTTCCTGTAAGCCTAGAAGTTTGGCAATGACTTTTGGAACATCGAGCATGATTCACTGATGTTTCAAACGCCATTGTCAAACTTTTAGGCTTACAGGAAGGTGACGCAAAACGTCCGACTTTCACGTTTTCGCGATGAAAACGTCGGCCGGACTTCTCTCTTTTATAAATTTATTAGTACTGTAATTATTATTTTTGATGTGTAAACTTAATATATTTCATACAGAGTAAAAGGTGTTAAAGGATTACGTGTGGTCGATGCTTCTGTTATTCCTTCCATGATATCCGGACATACTAATGCCGCTGCAATTATGATTGGAGAAAAAGCTTCAGACATGATTCTTGATGATCTAAAAACATCCAGATCAAAGGAAGAACTGTAACAGATAAAAAATTTTAAATTTAAATCTACGAAAAACATTACAATGCCATTAAAATGAAATTCTGGATATTTTATTTGTTTGAATACTGTATTTTAAAATCTATTTTAATGAGCGCTACCGTCTTGTGGATCTGGATTCGAATCCGAATTTTTCAGATTAAGGAATTTTCAAGAATTTTCATTCTCAATATAAAAATATGAATTTTCTATTATAATTATACAATTTGGTAATATTTTAAAAATATTAAAAGAACGTAATTTATTATACAAAAAGACAAGTAAAAATATATTAACGAAATGGACAAAAATTATTTAAAAATCCGCCAGATGGCTTAATGTCGTCGATGGCGGTTCGATTGAAAAGTTATTATGAAATGTACATAAAATATTTTGTATTTTCTGTAATTTGATTAATTAACAGTACGTACGTAATTAAAATTATATTATTTAAACAAAATCGTGATTATTTTAATCGAACGAAAGTCTTTTTATTTATAATTGTAACGTTTATAACACATAAGAAATGCCCACTCATTTTAAATGGAAAGTAAATGGCAAGAAAAAGTTACACAAACCAACGAAGAAGGCATTCAGACAGCCTCCATGGGATGTGAGTTGTGTATTTTAAACATTTATTTTTATCATTTAATCAAGTTTAAATTATATTTTCAACTTGTTTCTTTAATGTAAAATTGTGTTTTATATAAAGCTTTCACACCAAATCTTTAATTGGAACTATTTTGATATTTGAAATTTTGACGTTGGAACTTGTCGGAACCGTAGACCGAGTGTGGGCGAGCCGCGGCTCGCCCACACTCNAGAGGATAAGGATAACTTGCCAAAAAGAAAACGCTCTCAGTTAATAGTGCTTTTAGTGATGACAAACAAAACATTGTTTAATTTATATTAATATGTGTCACTTAAGAAAATTTTAATAAAAATATTTATCTTAATTATGAAAATATAATAGCATGTTTTTTAATTTTTGGAACCTAACCCTCCTTTTCGTACTAGTTCTTTGTTTTGTATAACACTGATTCGTATAACACGGCAATTTTTTGGAACGTAACTACCCGTGTTATACGGTGGTTACCTGTATTTCAATCTTACATAAAACAAGGTTTTACTATATATTACTCAATACTAGAAAGCCCGATAGTTCAATTAATGTTAACTCACTCAAAGTTAAAATTTAAAAAAATTTTTTAAAAAGCAGGCAAATTTATAAAACAAAAATTAATGAAATTACTAAAAAGAAAAAATTAAAATAAATTTAAATTTGATTATTTTATGTGCAAAACAACACTAAAACAATTTCTATAGTTATGTTGCAAAAGAAAAAAATTACAATTAATTTAAAAAATTAAGGATTCAAAAAATGCATGCAGAATTAAATAAATAATAATAATTATTGAAAATAATTATAAAAATTAATTAATACTAAATAAATTAAACCTAAAAATTAATTAAAACCAAAAATAATAATATAATTAAAACTCTGGTCTTTACTCCGAAACCAAATTTAAAATAAAATAAAAATTAATTAAGATGAGATCAATTGAAAATTAAAACATTTTTAAATTGTTAACTTCCTCATACATTAGTTCAAATCTTTTTGATCTCTTAAGACTTTCAATTTCTTAACATTCTCTTTCAAGCCCATATTAATAAATATATTGAAAATGTATTATTTTCTTTTAATTCAAAAATGGACAGAACTTTCCAGTAGTCCCAATATAATCTCAGAAACTGAAATTTTATGGTAACATCATTAATATAAGTGATTTCTGTTGATTGATGAATTATATACATATGCTTATTACTTTCTGTTTCAGAACAGTATAACAGATTTGACAAATTATCAGTTAACTCCAGATGAAATTGTGAGTGAATTTTTTTCTAATTCTAAAATAATAATGAATAAAATGGATTAGCTTATTTATATAAACTTGATCTCAAATTGTTGCAGAAACGACGTCACGTCATTCATAAGTCAAAAAATGCAGAAATTGCAAAATTAGAACTTATTGAAAAATATCATCCAAGTCTTAAAAGTAAGTAGGTAATTGGAGTAATTCATATTTAAAGATGCCAAGTAATATGGACTTTCTAAATATTTTCTTTGATGTATCATGATCTATCTGATCTTGCAATAATATAATAATAATAATAATAATAATAATAATAATACAATAGGCCATGTTTTCACAAATTTTAACTTTTTTATATCTATAACTTAAAAAATAATTTCAGAAAACTTGTCAATAAACAATTGAAAAACTGATTTGCATAAATAAGTGCAAATATTGTATAGACTGGTATAAAAAATAATAATATAAAGAAGAATGAAATAGTTAATTAAATAACTTTTATGCTTTTAATTCATATTAATTATGCATTGAGCAAACTATAGTATGGTCTTTATGCAGAGTTGTGTACCAGCAGATACTTCATAAATTAAATTCTATGTAAATTTATGTTCCATCCAAGTAAAACATTTTACTTGTTTTTACGGTAATGAAAGATCTTTTAGTTTGATGCTTAATAAATAGAGCAAAATTTTATTATACTGTATTGAGTACACTACTTGAAAAAATAGTTTCACTAGAGTGTTCACAAGAGAGTAGCATTCAGTATTACTTTATGTTCAGAACAAAGGTAGCTGGAGAAGCATGGTGTGCTGATATTCTGAACATAGAGTTAGATTTATTAGAAGTGAATTAACTAACCATTTACCATTCAAAATGTGATACATGTACAGTGCAGGTAACCCCCGTATAATACGGCACTTCTATAGCACGGATTCACTCTAACATGGTTCGAGAATTGGTACCATCCCTGTATAACACGGGGCAATGACTTTTGGAACATCGAGCATGATTCACGTAAAACCCTCATACAACATGAAATGTAATAAATTTTTACATACTTAAGTAATAATAGTTCACAAAAATTATTATTTTCGTGAACTATTAGTACTTAAGTATGTAAATTTTCTTTTCTCGCCTTCTGTCCATACACATGGTCCTTCTCAAAACTTGTTTCAGTGTTGCCAGATCTTGACACTTCTGATTTTGGTGTTGCCAGATGATTTTCCCTTATTTCATACTTTCTTTATTCTTCATAAGTGCTTAGCACCATATAAGGAAACTTATAAAGATCTTTTAAAGCAAGCAATCTAAAATTACATACTTTTTGCAAAAGGTAAAGCATGGATCTGAAGATAATGCAGAAAAATGTTCAGAGGATAAGGATAACTTGCCAAAAAGAAAACGCTCTCAGTTAATAGTGCTTTTAGTGATGACAAACAAAACATTGTTTAATTTATATTAATATGTGTCACTTAAGAAAATTTTAATAAAAATATTTATCTTAATTATGAAAATATAATAGCATGTTTTTTAATTTTTGGAACCTAACCCTCCTTTTCGTATTAGTTCTTTGTTTCGTATAACACGGATTCGCATAACANGTTTTACTATATATTACTCAATACTAGAAAGCCCGATAGTTCAATTAATGTTAACTCACTCAAAGTTAAAATTTAAAAAAATTTTTTAAAAAGCAGGCAAATTTATAAAACAAAAATTAATGAAATTACTAAAAAGAAAAAATTAAAATAAATTTAAATTTGATTATTTTATGTGCAAAACAACACTAAAACAATTTCTATAGTTATGTTGCAAAAGAAAAAAATTACAATTAATTTAAAAAATTAAGGATTCAAAAAATGCATGCAGAATTAAATAAATAATAATAATTATTGAAAATAATTATAAAAATTAATTAATACTAAATAAATTAAACCTAAAAATTAATTAAAACCAAAAATAATAATATAATTAAAACTCTGGTCTTTACTCCGAAACCAAATTTAAAATAAAATAAAAATTAATTAAGATGAGATCAATTGAAAATTAAAACATTTTTAAATTGTTAACTTCCTCATACATTAGTTCAAATCTTTTTGATCTCTTAAGACTTTCAATTTCTTAACATTCTCTTTCAAGCCCATATTAATAAATATATTGAAAATGTATTATTTTCTTTTAATTCAAAAATGGACAGAACTTTCCAGTAGTCCCAATATAATCTCAGAAACTGAAATTTTATGGTAACATCATTAATATAAGTGATTTCTGTTGATTGATGAATTATATACATATGCTTATTACTTTCTGTTTCAGAACAGTATAACAGATTTGACAAATTATCAGTTAACTCCAGATGAAATTGTGAGTGAATTTTTTTCTAATTCTAAAATAATAATGAATAAAATGGATTAGCTTATTTATATAAACTTGATCTCAAATTGTTGCAGAAACGACGTCACGTCATTCATAAGTCAAAAAATGCAGAAATTGCAAAATTAGAACTTATTGAAAAATATCATCCAAGTCTTAAAAGTAAGTAGGTAATTGGAGTAATTCATATTTAAAGATGCCAAGTAATATGGACTTTCTAAATATTTTCTTTGATGTATCATGATCTATCTGATCTTGCAATAATATAATAATAATTAAAATAATAATAATAATAATACAATAGGCCATGTTTTCACAAATTTTAACTTTTTTATATCTATAACTTAAAAAATAATTTCAGAAAACTTGTCAATAAACAATTGAAAAACTGATTTGCATAAATAAGTGCAAATATTGTATAGACTGGTATAAATAAAATGTTAAGATAAGAGAGAGAAATATGATATTGCCTATACACATATGTATTATATATTTATGATGCAGCTATAAAAAGGTACCTTAACTTGGAAACATCAGTTTTCATTTTTTGAATGCATATTATTCCATAGATTAAGAGGACTATTTAAGAAACTGTTTGTAGCTTAAAATGTTACCAAACATTACTAGAAACATTTAGTATTGAAGCATAAAACTGACAATTTCAACTGCATTTAGATCATGTTTTCTTGCTCTACAGAAAAGTTTATTTTTTTAACTTAAGTTATCTTCTTTTCATAGATTGCATCACACACACACACACACACACACACACACTATATATATACATATAAGAAAGGCCATATATATATATGTGGCCTTTCTCAGGAACTGCAACCAAGTTCCTGAAGAAGGCTTCGATATAGGCTGAAAACATTTGAACTGATTTGTTACCCTGTTGGATTGAAATGTTGATAAGTATGGATATAAATGAAATATAAAGTTTTTTAACATTTAAATCATTAATGTATTTTTTGTATTAAATATATTCTGTTGAAAAATTAGATTTTGTACTGGTGGTAGTATTTATAAAATTCTCAAAACTTATAAAGTATACTGTTTTAAGTTTAAAAAATATAATCATCTTTTAAAAATGAATACTTGATTTATAGTTTATTTTTGCAGTTTAATTATGTATATAGAGACAAAACAATTTTTATGATTGGGCTGCAATTTGAAAAAATTGTAGACCTATAAATTCCTACTGATGTCCATCCATTTGGCTGTCTATCTTTCCTTATACTAAAGAACAGCGTTAGATAGTTGAAAGATGAGACTAGGTATGGAAACCTTAGGAGCGGGAGGTCCCGATAACTATATTATTATATATTAGCAAACTTATGGTGCAAAACGTAAGTCATGTTATTTCAATTCAAAAATTTTCCTTGAAAGGTGTTAGATAGATGATCAGCACGACTCTATTGTTAAAGAAAAAATATGATGTATGGGGGCAAGACACTACTAATTTCAGGTGTAAAGCATATATTTTAAATTTAAAAAATTATTAAAAATATGATCAAAAATTGCAGCCTGGCATCGTGACAATATCACAATAAATAATTGCTCATTTTCTTTTGCTTTTTAGTTTAGATTTTGATTTATTTTAACAGTGTGATGATGATGGTGTAAATTTGTCTTATTTTAAATAAAAAATCACCTATTTTAGCAATATTTTATATTTTTGTTAATTGAAAGATATTAGATTATTTTACTATTTTAAATAAAATCAAAATTTTTACTTATATTAGTAATGATTTATAAATTTTGAATAATCTTATAATAAAATTATTGCACAATCATTATTAAAGATGTTCATCCTCTTAGAATTTGGTTTTGTTACTTAAAATATAGTTAATTAAGAATAAGCATTGATTTTAAAAAAATTATCATATTTTAAATGTTATACTATATTTAACTGTACTAATTCATAACTGTTTTAAAAAAAGTTTTTGAATTTTTATTTTGTTTATTACATACATTGAATTTTAAATATTTTCAAGTGCAGCCATTTATGAAAATTTGATTTTATTGTAGTTGCTAGTTTACTGCTATTGCTTAACATAATCCTACTTGTATAGTTCAATTCAGGATGATTACATATTTAAAAATATAAGGTCAAAATTGGATGAATATATGTATTTATGTATTTAATTCAACATATATATTCACACAAATATATACACTTCTAGATTTTTATATCTTCTGAAATTCATCTCTTCCAATAATGTAAAATATAGATAAATGAGCCAAATTATATTTGTAAGTTAAGAAAATGTCACTTGGAATAAAAATATTTTACAATTATTGACAAATTCCTTTTTTATTATTTCATTCTTAAATGTCTGCTTCAGATGATTAACAATAATACAGTAGTTATATTGTATTTACAAGTTTTTAAATTTAAAATATAATGTACTCCCAATTATCTGGGCCAATCATCAGTAATGGAGACATGAACAATAAGGAAACATGGATAATCAGCAAATCTATTTTAATGAAAGCTGATCAATTTTTCTTTCATTTAGTTTTTAATTTCATATTAAATTTAACATAATAGTTCACATATTACGAATAAAATATACAGTATTTTGAGAATGATAATTAATTAATTAATTAATTAATTAATAAGCTTTAGATGTGATCAGAGTTGAGTAAAACTTTTGATGTAAATAGAAAATTCAGAAACATTTACTGAACTAGTGCCTTTCAGTTCACTATCAGTTTCTTCTATTATTAACTGAGAGTGATAGGTTGTCAGCTAGCTAGCATCATAAAAAATCATTAATTTTGTGATGTTAATGATTTATTGATAAGGAAATGATTCAAAAATATTTTCTTTAACAATTTTACAACTTATTTAATGAAAAAAAAATACAGTATGTGACTGCAGGGTCGGCACCTTTTTCATGCCATGTCAGGACTGACATCACTGTGTCTTTTAGGAAAGACACAGAAACCTTGATGGCCACTTTTATGCACAAGCAGTTGCATTGTAGCAATGTTGATTGTAGGCACTTAGGCTTGGATTGGAGTCTGGTATGAGACAACTAGAAAAAGTGAATGCATTCCACTGCAAGTTAACAATTAACAATACCTGTTTATATATCAATTATAGTTCCTGACTGAGAGAGAGAATTTACAAATCAGTTGAGTGTTGATAAATACTTTAGTAGAAATTGGTTACTTGGGAAATTGTAGAATCGGTGGATCGATGTACTGTTGGTCCACCAGGTGGTTTGGAAGAAACTTCGTTGAATCGAGAAAGTGAAAGTGTTTTTTTCATCTTGAGAAGGAAGAGAATCGGTGATGACTTGAGCATTATTTGAAACAGGATTGGGCATAAAAACCAGTTCAAAGGTGGAGAACTAACAATGATGGCAAACTGTGATGACGACAAAACTCCTTCTTTTTTATTATGGGGTTCCTCGTGGGTTTTTCCCATGACTTCATTAGGAATTATTATACATCAGGGCCAATAGTTAAATTTCAATTGTTAGTTCTGGGTGACACATTCAATTTGTCACCTTAAACAAGGAAGCAAGTCCATGGGAAAAGTTTTAATCCTATCTTCTATGATTTTTTCTCTCAAACATTTTTTTAATAAAATTTTTGTCAAGTCCAGGCTCTCACAAGTATACACATAAGTAAAGCCCTATTCCTCAATAATCAACTGTACTTACTGTATTTATTAGACCATTTAATTTAGGCCTTGACATTCTGGAAGTAGTTCTGATGCTGAATATACCATATTAAATAGCAAGAGTTAGCAATACAGATTTTTTTATTTTAATGCTAATATTTGTATTCCTGACAAATTTTTATCAAGACATAAGCATCAGGATTAATCTACAAATGGAAACTCAAGAGTATACTATAATTTAAATTTTACTCATTTTTTTATAAACAGTATTAATATTTTATTGAATTTTTACATATTAAATATTTAAAATTATAAATTTTTTAAAACAGATACATCTGATTCTTCAATAAATAATATTGAAAACGAACATAATTCACATCAAGTAATTCAGGTAGAGTTGTTTTTTCTATTGTGATTGTAAAATAAATTCTTTATTTTAAATATCAGTTTTGTGTAGGATTATCTTTCTGTTCCTTTTGTTACAATTCCTCCTGTACAGTCAACAAAAGATAGGTAACAAATAATTTAAGCTTTATAAACTATAATATTTATAATATAAAAATATATTTTTCAGTTGTAAATATTTTTTTAGTATAGATAATACTGCAATTAATGAAGATTGTAAGAACAGAACAAATTATCATTGGATAAATGAAAGTAAATAAATAAATTATATTGTAAATAATAATAATTAGATATTTTTAAATATATCTGCATATAATAATTAATTTTTATAATTTGGAATTTCCATTTATTATTACATGTATCTTAAGATTTTGAAAATGTAAATGTTAATACAAGTTTTCAAGCAAAATACTTTCATCAAGAATTGCAAGTTGATCCTTATGATATACAAGAGGTGGTTATTTTTCTTTTTATTATGTAATTATAATTTGCAAAAATTGATTAAAATTATAATTAATGTTTTTATAATGAAAATGTTTGTATTCCAGCTACTATTGAATTTGCAAAGAAAATTGAATATTGAAGATAGTGACAAAAGTACAGAAACTGATGAAACTGAAACTTGTGTTTCAAGTGTTACATCATTATTTATTAAAACATTAGATAAATTAAGTCAAAAATATGTAAAGGTTAGTTCATTTACAAGTTAATATTAATTTATTACCAATATTTATTATATTCATATTATAGATACAAGAAGAACTGAAAAAAGAAAAAAAAGCAAGGCACCGTTTACAAAAAGAAGTAGAAGGATTAAAGTTAATTGTAAATGAAGTAATGCAAGTAAGTTATTTGTTAATTATTAAAATTTCTTTGTAACTAGAACTGATTAAAAGTATACAAATGTATTCCTTTGTTCACATTATATATCTGATAAATTTAAACTGTATACTGATTTGTTGACTGTTCTTTTATCTGTTCAAATAATAGTAATGAATAATTTAATAATAATAATGAATAGTAATTTAGTAATGAATAATTAACCATGAAAATCTATTATTACAATAGGTCAGAGTACATAAAATTTATTATTAAATTCTTTTGGAATTCAGTTTTGAACTACATGATTCAAAAACAGACTTCTATATCTTTCAAATTTAATTTTCATTATAAATTTTATAGAAAATAGCTTTTTTAAAATATATGATTTTTCTACAGATGTAACGTTCTTGCTAAATATTGGTACAAGAACTTTTTATCCAAAAAGTATATTTAATTAATCACATAGTTTTGTTCTATAAGTTTGATAATTTTGTATTTATTTATTTCTAATACAGTGGTGCCATGTACTTTGAATTTAATTCATTCCAAGAGACTGTTCAAAATCTAAAGTAATTTTTTTCCCATTAGAAATAATGGAAATTGAATTAATCCATTCCTAAACCCTAAACCAGTGTTTCTCAACGGGGTGATATCGCCCCATGTGGGTGTTTTTCCGCGTTGAGGGGGCGATTAGTAACAATTTATATTTTGGGGGGCGAAAAATAATTTTCTGGGCGATATAGTAAAACATTATATTAAGAATAATTGGATATTTTATTCATTATATCGTACAATAATTAAACAAATAACATTATACTAGTCACTAGTCTATTCAATACAGTACGAATTTGGCGTTAGCCTTGGTCCTCGGCNGTTTTTCCGCGTTGAGGGGGCGATTAGTAACAATTTATATTTTGGGGGGCGAAAAATAATTTTCTGGGCGATATAGTAAAACATTATATTAAGAATAATTGGATATTTTATTCGTTATATCGTACAATAATTAAACAAATAACATTATACTAGTCACTAGTCTATTCAATGCAGTACGAATTTGGCATTAGCCTTTGCCTGCGGCATCAGAATTTTGAAGTGAAGGGGGCGATACTACGTTGAAAGGGGCGACGATTCGTAAGAGGTTGAGAAACACTGTCCTAAACAATAACCATTCCAATAAACTTAAAACAGAAAATTTGCATAATTTAAGGTGAAAATAACACAAATTAAGGTAAACGCACCGGTAGTGGACACTGCACGAGTAGTGGACACTTTGAACTTCAAATATGAGTAATAAGGTTGTAGATGGCTTCACTGTTCAAACATACAAATCATTGAGTAGACAAAACTTCTGTCTACTGAATGATTTGTATGTTTGAAGTGTGAAGCCATCTACAACCTTATTACTTATATTTGTAGTTCAAAGTGTCCACTACTGGTGCGTTTACCTTAAATGCCCTAATAATAAGTTAAAAAACAAAACAATAAATAAAAAATGTAAATACTGTACAATGAAATGAAAATTGCATTTACTGGCTCACATCATGAACTTCAGCATCTTAAGCATGACTGCTAATCTACCACAAGTTTACTGCTTTCATGCTTTGCAATAACTTCCTTTTTTACTTCAGTCGTTGATATTACTACCTTCCTCTTGGACTTTGTTACCTACACCCATTTCTGGAATGCCATGGTTAATAAGTAAAGGTTATAAATTAGGTTGAACAAAAAGTTTTTGCACATTTTTAACAGCCATTATTTCTTAACATAATTAAATCCTCGTCTACTTGTATAACAGTTGTGAAATATAACACATTATTGCTAAGGTGAGATTGTAATTTTTGTTTAGAAGCTTATTTTAAACTTTTTACTTCACATATTGTTTGAATAAAATCATATCAGACATATTATGCTTTATGAGTTTGGAAAAGGATATACAGTAGCGCATCAATTATCTGAATGTCAATCAACTGAAATGTCAATTAACCAAAAGCTTTCCAGTCAGCAAATTTAAATTTCCACTAGTGCTGTGGCACTGCAATCTTTGGCTATGTTTTGGGCTACTCCATTATTATTTTTGTTGGTGTGCGTGTTTTAGCTGGCAGCACTGGTGCGACCACGAAAGGGTACTTAAGGACGTGCCAGGATTTGAATGAATTTCAACATGGGATAGGTTAATATATTTTTTTGTACATAATCGGTTATCTGAAAAATCGATTTTTCGAACAACCCCAATCCCCAATTGATTCGGATAATCAATGCTCTACTGTAATGTTGTACAAACAGTAAAAAAATTTGTAATGTGTATGGGGTACATGCTTCTAAACTTCAAACATTGTGGTTTAAAAAATTCTGTTTGGGAATTTTTGAAGTAGAGAATACAAAATGTACAGAGTGCCCAAAAGCTGTCTATGAATAAAAATTGTGGTAAGAAATTATTAAAACTCGACAAATGACACACAATATATCTAACTGAAAACACCATAAGTAAAGCGAAAAAAGCACTGAAAACATGACTGTAATGCATGAGTGAGAGACAACTCTGGTACACAACAGATTGCATTTATGCTTCAAGCATGTTTTTTCACTGCCTGTTCAGTTTGAACTTTGAAGCATCATTTGAATACCGAGGTAAATTTTTCTTGAATTTAGCAAACTCTTGTGTTGGAAGTTAGAGTTGTTCAAGTACAAGGTACTACTGTATATTTGATTATTTATATTAAATTGTACAACTGAATGTTTAAAGTTAGCTTTTTCTTCATTTTTTTTCAATTTCTCATTTCCATCATTCATGCCATTACCTTTATTACCATAATAAAAATGCCAGAGTCTGTTATTTAGTATCTTTTCAATTTTGTAAATAATTTGAAAGCTTAATTAACTGTCATTTAAAACCTTATGGAGAATTTTGTCTTTTATTATAAATGAAATATTTATTTATTTTTCATTATTAGCAAAGTTATTTAATTAATGATTGAAATATATACAAAATGTATCAGGTTTTGTATTATTACTAAACAGATAATAAATATATTTTATCTATGGTTTTTCTTTAAAATAGCAAGATATAAAAATTATACTTGATTTGAACTTAATTATAATTCTACACAGAAAAAGGTCTGTTTATGAAAAAGTATTTGAGAATAGTTTATTTTTTTAGATGAATTTTTAAATTAGTAATTACATAATTTGTTGCAATTGTTATAGAAAAATATATTTTGATCATAATATATATTGAATTATTTAATATTGATATTAAGTAAGTTAATATAATTTTATTTTTTACAAATAGATTTAATAAATGCATTGTAACTTTATCCCTTAAAACAGATTTAAGAGAAAAAAATTAAACAAAGTTACTTTTAAAAATTATTTTGTCTTTAAGAACTGAAGATATTAAGAATATGATAACAGAAATGCTCTTCATATTAAATTTGTAAATGAAAATATTTTGTAAGCAAATTGATCTTTCCATTTAGTAGGAATGTATAGTAAAACTAGACAGACAGACAGAATGTAATTCTATAAATACTTCTTATGAATTTCTCTGCTTCTATGTTAAATTTGGGATTTAAGAAATTCACTTTCACTTCATGTAATTGATTTACTATTAATGTCTCTCTTCTATTATAGAAGATTCCATTCTATAGAGTTATATGTATGTTTCTGCATGTTTCACTGTATTGAAACATTATTCATCTATCTAAACATTCACATTCTAACATTCATATATGTTTTCCATATTTTTTGCATTAGGACAAATCTAAAATTTTTAGCACATTCTGTAAAGTATATCACTGTACTGTATTTTGTGTACAAACAAAATATCTTTATTTGCATTAAATTTATTAGTGTTTCTATTAGCTTCAAAAACTGAAGATTTTAAGAAAAACAAAGTTATAATAATAAAATTGAAATGTTAAGTTAGGCTGTAGTAATAAATTAAGTTGTTCCTGAATACTTGGTACAACTACAGTTTGCCTTGTGTTGAGTAGTTAGTCGCTAACTACTTCATACAAGGCAAATTGGCATTATTATATTAATTTATTCTCACTGTTTTCAATGAATTACATTCGTTACTTATACTTGAGAACTTGTTCTCGGAAAGTCATTCAATTCTTGAAAGTTTCCAATTCATAAAAATGTTGGAATTAATTAGAAGAGGAATTGAATAAAGATTAATAATAGCAAAGACCTTGTGTTCATATGTCTTCTTGTCACATAAAGTTTGTTTTTCTGAAATACTTCAAAATAATTCTTCGAATAGGGTTTGTCATGCTATGCCATGACCATTATACCTGGAGATGATTTCACTTATTTGTTCACAACAAGTGGAATCTTAATTTTATTCTTTCAGGTTTAAGTTACATTCTTTATACCCAAAAAAAATCTTTGTTTCTGCTTGGACAGGTTTTAGGCTTATACTAAAATTTAACACAGAAAATACTGAATTCTGAAAATTTTTTTCTATTAGGCATAGGCACCATAGGTAGGCTTCCATTTCAGATAGGTTTTGTTGTACATTAATTTTATAAAAACATATAAAATTTATTACCATATATGCTGGCTTATAAATTTACCTCAAGATTTTCCGCTCAGAATTCTGTTTTAGAGTTATATTGACCTTATAAGTTAACTCCTGAACATAAAGTAGTCTACCAATAAGCTAGAATTGAAAAAATTTGGATATAAGGTGAATCCCATAAATATAAACACACTGATAGCTTTCCATATAAAATCATTCAGACTGAAAACTTTGCAAAAATAATTTATTCTTGGTTTTCTTGAACTTTTACAAATGCACATGTAAAAAATGGTAATAATTTATTGTGACAAAAAATAAACAACAATTTTAGCAAATTACAATTAATTTGACTGTCCCAAAAATATAAAGGCATATACCAAAATTAACTGAAACAATTAATGGCTTGCTAATAAATTACATTTAACAATAACCTAATATCCAATGAAACTTTCTTTAGCTAAACTAACTTTGTAAATGTAGTCTGGCATTGATTGTATGAGTTTTTGGAGAACAGAGGTGATTATTTCTTCCCATTGACAAATAATGGTCTTTTTAGTTCCTCCGCACTATATTGCTGGCCCCTTGCATATCCAGCTCTAATCAGATTCCCCAAAGTTTCTCCATTGGATTAAGATCAGGGGATAGAGCTATAAACAATGCATAAATTGGATAATAATAATAGTAAAGAAATGAAATACAGTCGATCCCCCCTATAACACGGTAGATACGTTCCGGTTTTTATGAAATCCATTTTCTACGAGTCCTTAATTTAAATACATGAGCCAATCACAGCCTGGCACGTATGCAGTTTATGGACTACGGCTGTTTGAAAGGTTTTCTTCCATAAAATTAATAGATTCTAGACTAATTCGACTCAACATTTCCAAAATACATATAATTTTTTGGGAATAATCCATATAAACTATGCTATAAAAAAAAATTGTAGGATTACTTACCGAGTGTGCACAGTTCAATGACGCCATTACTTAAGCTTGTTTTCGTCGTGGAGCGGTGCATCAAATGGTGCTCACATGCTTCCTGATAAATTATTTTTCTGCGAAAACTTTGCTGAACTTTGGAGACATCATTAATATAAATATAATTTTTATGGCTGTTAAATAATAAATAGTTTTTAGTAGGTCTGCTGTTCATTTAAACTCAACAGTTTGTGCAATATTCGCTATTGGTCTAGATTCATCCAATCCTGTCGGCGATGATGTTTTACTGAATTATACGAGTCTCTTTTAGTGTGTTTATACGAATACAGTCGCAATTTTTTCGCCATCATATAGGAATCCGAACTATATGAACCCATTTTATAGGGGGGTTCTACTGTACACCAAAAACACCAGCAGAAATTAAAAATATTTAATGATAAACAAATGTTTTTGATAAATTTAGCTATCATTATCAGGTTAAATACGTTCACAAAAAGAAGAATGCAGGTGAATTGAATGTTGTAATTTAAAGGAAGAGTTGTCATGTAATTGATTGCTGATGATGTTACATGTAATATTTACAGTATTTCTGAACTTCAAAAAGACATATCCATGCTAGAAGGAAGTTTTGCCATCTTTGAAATTTATGGTCTTATTTTTCTTATGCACCCTGTATATCTCTAGATTTTCCAGGTGTATGAGAGAGTTGCATGTAGTAGTCAGGTTCTGTCTCTGTGCTTGGATTTGATGTTCCATGGCCAATGCAGTCATGTAATGTCCTTTTTTAATTGAAGTTACCTGTTTTGTTAGACATTTGTGTGGACATCTTGTGGTGCCAATTTATTCCATTCGCTATCCAAGGGTGGTGTGAGTGAACTGGATGGAGTAAATGCATGGGAGATGATGATCTTTAGAATTCTTCAGGAGTATACCAGTGTTCCTTCTGAAGGCTATGTCAATATTACAAAGGCCAATAATATTGGGCATGTAAGAAATGGGGTTTGCCTCAACCAATTGTTAAATTAGTGTTTCTAACCAACTACAGTCATTTCTAGTAGTTTCTGCTGGGTTAATGTTGATCTCTGCTATCTTAATATGAACCTGCCTTATATTTTTGGAACACTTTTATTAACTGTCTAAAATTGTTTTCTGTTTTAAGAAATTAAAAATATATATTTAAAAAGTCATAATAATAAAGTTTTATATAACCTAAAAATAAATAGGATATGCAAATTATTCCATGAGAATGATTTTATATTTATTAGTACCTTTATATTTATGGGATGCACCTTACTATAGGATAGCAAAAGTGTGTAGTAAGGCTTCACTATTTTTATTGAGACCTATAATATCTTTTAATACGAAGGGAATTTTTTAAATAAGGTCTGTTTTTTGATAAGAAGAAAAATATTATAAATATCGTTAAAATATATTTTTTTCCATATTCTACATACTTTTATCTACTTTTCTATGTAATTTCCATTCTTGTTCAAACATTTGTCATACCCACTCAAAAATTTTTTAAATTCCGACTTCAAAGAAATCTGCCACCGGAAGACATAAGGCCATGCCGCTTGTCTTGTATGACGTGGCGGACTTTTCTCAAGGTCACACAGTAAGCATCATAATTGATTGTTGTGCCTCTTGGCATAAAATCCACTAACAAAGTCCCTTTCCTTTCCCAAAAGACAGTTATCATGATCTTTCGTGCTGAAATCAAGTAACAGATCATATCTTACAGTTGGATGGTAGTTGGGTTTTAGTTAAGTTTTAACTTAAAATATTTATGGTCTATTGGAGTGGTGCACAGCAATTGCTGGGAGTGCTATTTCATTTTACCAATTCTTTGGTAAAAAGTTTGAATTTTATACCAGCCATATACATTGACCCTTAGCTTTGAAGAGCTTTTTCAGGTTTAAAAATTGACTTATATGCTGAAATATACAGTAATTTTTAATAGTTATTAGATAACAGTGATAATGTATGAATAGTTGGTTAATTTTTAATTTTTATTTTATTTAGAATGTTACTTCACTACATGAAAAAGTGAATAACTCAAACACAGTCAATTGTTCTCAGATATCATTCTGTAATCAACAATGCCAGACAGATTTAACAAGTGATATACCAACCAGAGATGATCCGATAAATGCTAATAATAAGATTTCATTCAATAATGAAGACAAGTGTTTCACTGCGAGTGCAATGATTAACAATAATGTTAGTGAATTATCTAATATGACTTCAGTTAATTGCAATTGTAGTTCTGTCACTCAAGGATGTGTGCTACCTCATCAGTGGACAAAAGCCATAATGCTGAAACCACCTATTCAACTTGATTTAAATACATACAAATCATAAAATGTAAAATTAGGAAATTTCATCTTGATGTCTGATAAAATCAAACTCATTCATTTACAAACTATTATATTACATAATTTTTATTTTTATGCAAACATTCTCAAAAACTTTTTTTTTATATCTTTTTAAGCATTAATAAACTCCTAATTAAATATATGTTGAACTTATTCATTTACTTTTAAGAATGATAAATTATCATTATTATTTTGTGTTTTCTATCTATACATAAATTCTTAAGTAATATTTTTATTATAATGTCAGGCAAAATAAATAACACAAGAACTTAGTTTTATTGGGAAATTTAATGTTGATTGAAAATAATTTGCTTCAATAAATTCTCATGTAGTTTTTGTTTGTATATAAAAACAATATATATTGATACAGAATATTTTTTATTCATTTAAAATAAATAAAACAAGATTATACAATACTTTTTAATAATATATATATATTTTGAAATATGACAAATATATTTGGAACAGAACATTTATTTAAAAAAAATTAAAAATTATATTTAATCTATTGAATTATCTGTTATTTTTATTTTATAAAATTTAATATAAGGTAAATTATAAACTATTTTATAATAATAATTTACATATAAGAAATTATTAAGATACTAGAATTATCACAATTTCATCTATTCATAAAAATAACCAATACTTTGCTAACAGACTTCTTGAATCTGAATAAACTTTCACTAATAGTATAAGATTGAAAATTGTTATGATACCTTATGATATAAGTTTTAAGAGACATTAATTTAAAATTTAATAATATTTCAGTTAAGTTATTTTATACATGTATATAATGTATTTATTTTTAATGTGATTTTAAATAATTTACATTGCAGTGGATTTCAAAAAGCAAACTTTGAAAATTATGTTTAAACATAAAAAAATATAGAAAAATATATATATATATTGTATATATATATAAAATTAAA